ATTAGATAAAAGCAAAATTCAGTGTATGAATAGTAAGTAATATCCATGAGTTAGAGGAAGCAGTAGTAGTTAGAACCGTCGGTGAAGTAAGAGGGAACCACTAATCACAGTGCGATTGAAATTCTAGATTCTACCGTATAAAAAATTATATATGTATCATACAATCGTTATCCATAATGTAGTCATATAAAATAATGCAAATGCTAGAAGTTTATATATATCTAGTTTTTATAATTTAATAAATAAATTAAAAGTCCAGGTGGTCGTTATAAAAAATCACATTAAAGCGCATTTTTTAGAGGTTATATCTGGATATAACTGTTACCCTCTTCGATAGGGTATAAAACCGGTTATTAGATTTTTATTAAAGGGTTATAACCTTTCGGGTAAAAAGCTAACCGGGTATGACCACTAAATTATAATTAGTTTTTTAATTTTTAAATTTTGTTTATAATTAAATTTTTAAATTAAGCTTAAAATTTAGTTACAGGTATATTGTATATACAATAGTTTAATCATTTAGTTACAATTAGAGATTAGGCCCGGATAAGGATTACCCATAAACACTCTTAACCGGATAGCAATTTTGCTAACCGGATAACAAAATGCTTTAGCAGTTTGGTTGGTTACAGGTCACGTTGTCAGTTAATTTCTATTGATCTGATTGGCCGAGTTCATACGATTAAGTAATGTGGCTCGAATTATGAAATTTAATTCTTATACAGTTAAATCAAAATTTACCCGGTTTTGAATTTGTAATACGGGTCGGTTATCCGGAGAAGAAATTTTATACGGGCCTAATCTCTAGTTACAATTTAAAAAAGTATTAAAATTTCCAGGCTTTTATAAAAAATTATAAGAGCTCTCTAATTGTAGCATGGTAATAAAATCATTAAAATTAGCTTAAAAATTGATATAAAAGTATTTAACTTTTCACAATTAACTTTCTTTCCTTTGCAAATTTGCCAAGAAAAGAAAATATCAGTTAAATATTCATATCATGAATTACAAAGTATTTAGATCTTAGATACCTCTTAATTTGGAATAATATAATTGAATGATTTAAAACTTCATATTCTATTATGAGGTCGACTAAGCTTTATCGATTATAAACACTAATTTATATAATAATGAATCAAATTCTAACAAAAATACTACCCACGAATGCCTTTTAACGGTACAAATACATATAACATAAATATCTGAAGTTTATTTAATTTACATTATAAGCTCAAAATTTCTCCACTTCAAACATTTCACAACATCTTAACAATTGATTAGCACCGCATTCTTTCGCGAAGATTTTGGTAGCCTCCAAATTATCATTATCTAACAAATCTCTCAATGCTCTTTCACATTTATGAATTAATGTGGGGATCAAGAACCTTGAGGCATCATAAAGTAATTCAACCCACTTATCATATATTGTGATATTAGGTAGGAAGCCAGTATAAGTAGAATTTCCAATGAATTTTGTGTGATATCAGTAAGAACAAGCGATCTTTCATTAGATTCTATCATGTGCGAATCCATTAATGCTCTGAAATAATCAGATCTTGCCGTGAGGGTGCTAGAATGAACATAGAACTTTAACATTTGCTGGGTGGAGTTATCTTCACTCTCATTTACTTCATTTATTTCCAAATAGATAATAAAATCACTAGTAATTCTATCATTTAAAGCAAAATCATATTTTACTTCAGGAAGTGGATCACAGATTATATCCGGGACTAGCTCCACTTTTACATCCAGCCCACAATCCTCATCTAAAGAAAGACCATGAGTGTCTTTTATGCTACATCGAAAAAGCTGAGTCCACTGCCAGGAGATACGAGAACTATTTCCACCTCTCAAACGGGCCCTCAAGGTGAAACCATATTCACCCTTTACAAATGATGTTGCATCCACTATATTATCAACTATATTACCAACTATATGAGTATTTGGTGCGAACTCAATCGTTTGGTAAATAGGATTGACATTACTTTTTGTTGGTAAGGAGGAGATTGACCATTCCACAATCGCATCATAATTAAAAATAACATGTTGTAATTTCAAAAATATGGTAGAGATAGTAATACCTAAATAGAATCATTTCATTAGATTCCGAAAAAAAAAAAAAATCATTAGTTTCAGATGAATATTATATAGTTATTCAATGCCTTCTATAAAATAATTAATTATTTTAGGCCATATAAAGATAATTTTTTGGTTCTCATAACATAAAATTTCAGAAATGACCCGGCAATCCGGCTTTTACAGCTATTATCATAATTTCTGGGACACTTGCTCATTACCCGAAATCTTTTTGGTCGTTCGATAAATTACCTAACTCCGGAAATTACATCGGACTGAAGGTCCGAAGACAGCGATGTAGTTTCTGGAGAGGTAGGTAATTTATCGAACGACCAAAAAGATTTCAGGTAATGAGCAGGTGTCCCAAAAAAAAGTTCACCCGGATAGTTACAGTAAACCTTTTTTTCAAAGTTTTGCAGAATTTGATCCGGCCGGGTTATGAGAATCAATTACAGCTGTTTTCATAAATTCTGGAACGACTGAAAAAATTGCCGATGACCGAATCGATAAGTTTCTGAGTTCGGCTGAAGTGATTACTTATTGATTCCGACTTGGTAACTTATCGATTCGGTCATCGGCAATTTTTTCAGTTGTTCCGGAATTTATGAAAACAGCCATAATTGAGATAAAATTATTGATCTTATTCCATAAGCTGAAATAGTAAACTCATTGAATACTTTTTCCAATCATATTCGATCTTGTAATAAATATTATCGAATCGAAGTGCTCCTTCATGCCATGTTGATATGTATTATTATCGATAACTCCATTCTCGTAATAACCATCAAGTAATGTATTATATAATAGGCTATGTTTATAGACGTTTTGATTTAAATCGTCCGGCAGTACATGAAGCGGATACTTATGATTTAGCAATCCGCCAGGTTTATATGAGGTGCTATCATTAGTATCTTGATTTTGTGTGGTAGAACTTTTTTTTTCTTGACTTTTGGTAGGTAGATAATTTGGAGGCAAGACAATAGCTGTTAAAGATTGTAAAGGTTCGTTGGCTTGTGAGTCTAGAATCACGTTCTCTGAAGTTTGGCTGTCGTAACTAGTAATTTCTTGCGAAGTGGTACAATTAGGATCCATATCAACGATAACGATAAGATATAAAATGATAAGATTTCACACGATTTATAAATTGTACGTCACAATATTTCTTACACATGGTAGGTGCGAATATTTGCATTTAATGGTATCGCGAGATGTGAAGTTTGCATTGGTATTTTAACTACCTCCTTGACGGTTTGACGGTTCGATGATGTATTCGGGAGCCCGCTTATACCTTACCCAATATGGTTACGCAAACCGCATTCTATTGTGGTCATAGCCATTTCAAAAAAAAAAAAAACACTATATATAAAAAGATGTTGTAACACTTCAAATTGTTAATATAATTCTGCCTCATCTCGCAAAACCTACTTCTCTCTTCTTTGTTTTAAACTCATCTCTCAGTGTTGACGACAAAGCGTCCAACTCGCCTAAAAAGTTTGTGTTTATATAATAGAGGAATAAAAAAAGTTTTTTGTCGATTCACCTAAACTAAAGAAATAAAGATTTTTGACAGCAAAAACGCATTAAAAAAAAACATGACAATTGAACTTGAACCACATTCCCAGCTCTCTTTTCACCGTAAGTATTTTCTTTATGTCTAGTGACGTTAAATGGGTTGAATGTCACTTCTTTTATACAACTTTGAAGTAGTTGTAAATCTGAAGATTTGAACGAATAGTGAGAATGTTGTTAGTTAGCTGCCATGAATGAGTATATTGTAGGCATGATTTGTAATAATTCCGGAAATTTTGTCTTAATTATAGGTCCTTTTACACAACTTGTTAAAGAGATTCTTATTGTACGTAATCCGAACCATGAACCAGTTGCATTCAAAGTTAAAACTACAGCTCCTAAGCAATACTGTGTGAGGCCGAACTCGGGTCGAATCGAGCCAAATCAGAGCGTTGAGGTTCAAGGCATGTATAAATAATTCAAATTGACGCTTTTATTTATTTATTTTTTTTTTTAACAGAGATGAGAAATGCTTGAATTGCACTAACGACATTGATTTAAAAATAGTTATTCTTCAACCTATGAAAGAAGACCCACCCCTAGATTTTAAATGTAAAGATAAGTTTTTGGTACAAAGTATAGGAATTACACCAGAACGTGAAACATTATCTTTACAAGAACTGGTAAAAAATCAGAATTACTATTAGTGTTAGAGCTCTCGTATGTGAAAATATTGTTTAATTAATGGAACTTGTTTTTTTTTCATTGTAATTATTTGATTTAGTGGGCTATAACAGAGAGAGATTCAAAAGATTCGATCAAAGAAAACAAGATTCGATGTGTATATTTACCACCAGTTGGAAATAATGTATCTCCTACATTACCATCTCCAAATCAACCTCTCCCAATTCAACCGTCTATTCCTGCTCCATCAAACCCACCATCAGGGGACAGTATCTATTCTGAGTCTCAAAAAATGAAGGTGAACATAGATCTTTTGTATTATCTGATCTTTTCATTATTCAAGATGCTAATATCAATACATTTCAAAAATTCAGAATGATCTGCCTTTACCTCCACCATATCCTCTTCATTCTACAAATGATATTTTTCCCCCAACTGAAAAGAATTCTTTGGGACATTCAGACAAATCGATCTTAACGCAGGCAGCTACCACAAATGGTCACTCGACTACACAACGCACGCCTGCAATTGTTGGTGCATTCCCTAAAGATGATACTTTCGAATCTCATAATATTAACAAGCCCTTCAGAGATGATGATGATCCTGCAAAATTACGACGGCAATTGCTTGAAGCAAAGGAAGAAATTGCTCGCCTAAATAACACGATTGAAAACTATAAACAAGAATTGAATACAGCTCAGATGAGACAGCGCAAGAGTGAGGAAGCTGCTGCTTCAACAAACAGGCATAGTACATCTGCCATTGGTGGTTACTCTGTCAAGACTCAAGAAAAAATTCCTGAAGGCTATTACCCATTCGAGGTGGTGGTTGGCGCTGCAGTTGGCGCCTTCCTATTTGGAGTTATGTTTTTCTGAATAATGTTTATTCATTGATTTCAAGGTATATTTGAGATTGGATTAGGTTTTTTCTTTATTTCCATACCATTCTGCTTAGCATTATCTGCCCACATTTGATTATGACTTGTTGTTTATGTCATAATTATTACCGATTGAAAGGGCTCAATTAACTATATTTTAATGCATAATTTGAAAGGCATAATTAACCGTATTTTTATCTTACATTTTAGGTATGAATTTCTTTTTTGATAGATTATTACCATAACGGATGACTTGCCATGAACTTACCTTAATTCACTTTACGCTTTTTAAACCATAAATATTAATAATAACTATTTCGGTGCGATGCTAGTTTCAGTAATTTTCAGTAATTTCAATACTATATATTGCAGAATTCTATTCGCTTAATTTGAAAAAAAAAATGTATTAATTTGCTTATTTTTTATTTTATTTTTCATTGGTTTTTTTTTTTTTTTATCTTAAATATTATGAGTATTTGCGTAGGAAGATTTTGTGTGGCTGCTATCTCTGGAATATTGCGGTATAAATATATTCGTATACATTTAATTGTTATCAAATATGGTTTTTTAAGAGTGTAAATATTTATTGTAGGTTAAAGTTACACGTAATATTATTAATTCGTTGGTGATATCGAGCGGACTATAGCAAATGTGTAGCTAGCAATTTTTATACTTAAGTATATATACTAAAGTTTGGGATGCTGAAATTTTGGGGACCCAATAGACGTATTAAACCTACTAAAAACCTATTTATACTCTTTATTAACAACTCAACCTTAATTTTTTTTAAAAAAAATACACCCAAAAATCAAACTTTATTACCAAGCATCATCTGATTTCAGTCCATATACGTATTAATTCATAATATTATGTCAAACAAAATCTTTGATTTTAATATATAAAGATACGATCCGTTTGACTTTTAACTATTAATGATTTCTCGAGGCAACTTGGCTTCTGTGCGCGTTATTCTGGGGTATCACATAATCGTCCCTTGAAATATACATTCACACTATACCTTCAATTTTTCTTAAATTCGAATTAAATTGATTCATCAAGGATTATATGTTGCACTTATTAATTAATATATATATATAGTATATCAACACATTAGATTTTGATCATTGAAGCATAGCTGACGATCCAAATGTGGTTATTACCAATCAAATTAATTGAAGAAATTCAATACACGAGTAATTTATACATATGTTTTGCTTTTTATTCCTATTTTGTCGTTTAATTACAGTACGTATTACGTATTAGTTATTACTACGTATCTTTACCTAATTAACATTACATGCACAGTCAATTTTTGTTAATTAAGTTTAATTGCGTATTTTTAATTACTATATATGAAAACCTGTTATCGGGCTTTCAATTATATTTTGTACCGGACATATTCCCTAAGAAATTAAATAGATTTTGTCCAGTATATATAAAATATAGTTATTAATATACAGTATATACATATATAGCTAATTTTTATTACCGTATATTACCGATTAAAAGCAGCCCCTGAATAAAAGCAACCCCTCAGATTTTGGAGCCAAAAATTTGACTACAGTTATTATATTTTACTAATAAAATTGTACTCGAATAAAAGCAACCCCTTCATTTTGGCTCGAAAAAGTTCTCATTTTTTTTGCAAC